TTTACAGTCCTTGCAGTTTATGCTGTAAACTCCAGAGCTCTCCATTTTCTTGACATCTTCATGCTGGTCAAGCAAGCTGGTGAAGAGGGTTTTCTTTTCCTTCATATTTGTACGAATGTCCCATTTCTCTAGTATCGTCCGCAGCTTCCGAGTTAGTTCGCATGGGGTTAGACATATCCATCGTTTTTCCTCTGTTCCCCTTGCCATCTTTTCATAATCTCAATCATTCCATATTTTCATCACAATTTGTATGTTGCGTTTTATTGCTTCTTCTTGCTATCCGTTTCCAAGAGACATATGAGTCCTTTCAGTTTCTCTCCTCACAACTCAGAATCATTGAGTCGTAGGCTTCTTATGACCATACTCCAGAGTATTCAATTCTTCTTTCTATAAGTATGGTTAGACTGGAAGTTAAGAGTAATTCTAGCATGCGATTTCTTTTAGAAAAGTCTTTTCTTGATAATTTATTTGGAGCGGTCGTCCTCCATATCCAAGAAAGGTAAGTGTCCGTTCTCTTCCACATCCATGGTTTAATTAGCCTTTTTCATTCATTTCGTTCAGGAAGTTCAGGAAATCGTCTAATTTTTCTCTTCCATGCTACCAAATTGCGAAGTAGTCATCCAAATATTTCATAAATACTGTGTTTTGCTGAATTTACATTTTGAAATTCTCCTCCAACTTGTCCATGAAGACATAAGCTGACAGAGGTGAGAGTGGTGAGCCCATAGGCAGACCAAATATTTGCTCACAGATACGGCCGTTCAAAGTAAAATTGGTCGTTCTTATTGTTAGGTTGATTAATCAGGTTATAGAATTTACGGATTCGCTCTACCTCGAGGGTGTCGTCTCCTTTTTCCAAGATCTCCAGTAGTGTCGTGAGTTGTTTATCTCTTGTGATATTAGGGTACATGAGGGTACATCAGAACTCACCAAAAATTCGTTTTCTTCCAAACGGGTGCCTTTAATTTTTGGCAAAATTGTTACTAGTTATTTAATCTATTCGATAACCTGTCATTGATTTTCTTTCATTTGAGGCAGACAAATTTCGCCAATTTATCTGGTGGTCCGTGTTTATTGTTGACTTAATCTTACTAGTTTTCCTTCTTTGGCACGCTACTGGGAATCTTGCATATTTTCGTAGGAATAAATTCATTGTCCATTTGTTGATTCCCCGTTTATATTCAATTTCTTAGCATTTATTGCGACATCCCTCTGATTTTAGCTCTTGGGTCTTTTGCTAGCAGTCGATAAGTTTTAGTGTCCCCGAGAATATTTTCTATTTTCTCTATATATTACTTCCTGCCCATCACCACTTTGGCATCTCCATTGTCAGCTTACCGAACTATTTCATCGTTTTTTCTTAATTCATTATATCTCCTGGTTATATTGTTCCTATCCCTGGGTTCTTGAGGTGCCAAGATTGTTGAGATGATCTCTATTTCCAGCTCTTGATTTTTCAGGCAGCTTCTCAGAGGTATTTATCACCACTAAAATGTCCTTGCTTGCCTTCCTTTCATTCCAAAGTGCAAAATTTAATTTCTCCCTTTTCTTAAGTCTATCCAACAGCCACAAAAAGTTCATACTTATTATGAAATGTAGTCTCAAAACTCTACTTACAAACGAAAAATAAGTTCCTACTCAATTTTCTACATTCGTTCCTCCTATTCAGGTCGTTGGCTGTTTTGTTAATTTCTATAGAATCCCTAATCTTACGCTTTACGTGAAGTCCCCGTAACCCGCAAAACGTTGTGTTTTGGACTAGTCTATTGAGTGTCCTTATTGGCCATGTGTTCAGCGAGCTCAAATTTGTGAGCCCACAGACCTTTACAAGCGGTTGTGTTCGCATAGTCTCTTGTGAATGGGTCGGCAGGTCTCCCCCACATATACATTACCACATGATAACAAAACATTGTTACAGCCTGATCTAGAAAGAAGGTCTGAATATTCTCTAAACAAAGGAACTACTAAAGAAAGTGTTAATTTCTCTTTATACATTGTTTTTATGCTCCATTTCCTCAGTAGTTCACCCAACCTTTTCGCAAGCTGGTAGGAAGGCATAATCAGGAACCGAATAGAATTGTACATTTTTCTATCCTGCGCTTGATAGCAAACTCCCTTAATTTTGTTAACTACGATTGATTTGTAATTGTCTACTAATCCTAATAGGTAAATGCTTTGAAACAGTATATCCCTCAATCTACTAATCTCCTGGTCCCTATTGCTTGCATCTGCTATGCACAGACTCCTTATTATCATAAACTTCCTAACTCCTATTTTTACTTTATATGTTTGGTTCGAGAAAAAATTAATAAGGAAATTCGCGTCAGTGTGTTTCCTATATACGTCTCTACCTAACTTATTACCTTTTTTCATTAATACATCCAAAAAAGGCAATTTATTTTCCTTCTTTAACTCCATGGTAAGCTTAATGTTTGTATCTATTCTATTTATTAGCTCAAGGAATTCCCCCAAACTATTTTTGCCGTGTTGCCAAACAGCAAAGTAACTAATAACTTTGGAACTAGGACTGTCTCTTGGAATACGCGAACTTCTAATTGGGCCAATTAGTTATTATTTAAAATAGAGGCTAAATAAGATCCCATAACCAAGCCTCGTGTCTGCTCATACAATTTACCATTTGAGGTAGAATATGCATTATACATTAACAAATTGACTAATCTAATTATTAAATCTTTGCTTAACTTTTTACCTGTTATGATTTCAGGGTGTTGATCTAGAGTTAGTTCTAACGCCCTCATTGCCTCGTTTATTGGAATGTTAGTGTACATAGGCGCTACATAGAGATTTACCAGCAAGTCTCCTCTTTCTATCGTCTGATCATAAATTGACTTAATAAAGTCGTATGAGTTCTTTACTGAAAACTTCTGCGTTTGGAGATTTGCTTTAACTGAGTACATAGACAGCATGATGTTTTCTGCATCTTGCTGCCTCTATTATTTACAATAATCCTTAGTGGAGTACCTTGCTTATGGATTTTGAGCAGACCATACGCATTTGGAGGTCGAGCATATCGCTGGGGAAGTGCATTCACTTTCCATTTTTCCAATTCTCCACTATTCACAGATCGTTGCAGAAGACTCTTAACTCTGATCTTAAGGCCTGTCGGGCCCATAACTATTGTCTTATATGTTGTATCATCATATAATGCCTCTAACATTTTCTGTACATAATCAGTCTTATCCATAACTACTTTTGCTCCTCCTTTGTTTGTCCTTAATACTAGTTGCTCGTTCTCCTTAAGCTTTCTTATAATTGTCTTAACTGTCCTATTCTTATATGGTATTTCTACATGACCATCAATTATCTATACAACCTGTTGTTTACTGTCATTTTTAGTATCCTCTGGGAAACTATCCGTTAAACTTATCAATTCTACCAAAATTTCCTCTCTGAAGTCGTGGCCATCTGGAAAGGCAAAGTTTAAGTCCGTTGCTAGGACCTCCTCAGTAGAAATTTCCAATTAAGTTTTGGACGGATTTATCATTTTTTGGCAACCACTATTCTTACCCTTCAATTCATTAGATGTGGATCGTTTCCTTGAGCTAATACTTATACCCAAATTTCTTATCATATGTCTTCCTAACCTGTCGGAAAATCTTATCATTTAAACTATCCGCTATACTCTGGAGTTTCAGGAAGTCTTCCGAATTAAGAGCATTGGCCAAAATTTGCCTAAGTTTAGTCTTATTTCTGATTAAGGAATGTATCTGCAATGTTTTCCTTGAGTCTAATAGCATTGTCTCCACGGTCCATCTCTATGATTCAACTTGTGTATCATAGACAAACTATGAACGTCTACCTCCAGTCTCCTGTTGCGTCTCGAATGGATTTCTAGTCAAAGTGGCTCTGACATATTATCCATAGTGGCAAATTCCTGTGACGGCTGTGATTATCTGTCTCCTTATTCATGTGATGGCCCGGTCCCCAAAGTCGTAATTGTTTCTTTGAGTAGACTACACCCACTGAAATCTTCTCTTGCTTTCCGAATATTCCTCACCTGCTTCATCCTTGAGATCCCTTCTTCTCTAGTTAATGATGTCTCTTTGTTCCAGGCCTCTCCTGCTTGCTCGTATTGCCATTTCCTCATTTCCTCCGAGTTTGCTTAAGCAATAGGCAAACTTATCGCCATCTCTGCCTTTTTCTAATCTCCTGTTCATTAAATTTCTTTCGGCAAGTATGTCGTTGGCCTTTTTATTCTTCAGTTTTATTGTATTTTAACCGTTTGATACACTTCTTTCTGTTGTATTCTAATTGATATCGTGTACAGTTTGTGCAATTTGTGTGGCTAGTTCTGATCTTTTGGTATCCATTTTTCTGCAGAGCCTTTGAAGTTCCCTGATTCGCATGCTGATTTTTCATCCTGGTTCGCCAATTCACTTTGCTAACAGACACCTCATGCTATGCAGCCTATTCCTGAGCAATCAAACTCGTATACCCTCTCATATTATGTTAACAAAGTGAAGAGTGCTGTTTCTTATTCCCTTCAATAACCCTAATTTTTGAGTTAGTTCACAAGAAGGTAGGCATATTCACATTTGTGCGTCTTTCTCTATCCATATTTTGTTTCTATAATTTATATCTTGTCATCAGCTTTTCACGGCATTAATCACATCTCTTCGATATCCGTGACCTTAACAGAGACCACAACATCTTGGTCTTCATATTTACAAATTGTTATTCTTCAAAATGATTTGCAATGCTAGCTAAATTTCATCTAGTGCCTAATGTTAGCTGCGCTTTAACTATTTGTTCGAATGTATTCCAACGATTTACATGAGCTACTGCATATTTATCTCAATGATGAAGACAAAAATAACAGGAAAATAGAAATAAGTTTAGTGGAGGTGCAAATTACCGATAAGTGAAAGAATTACTAAAATTTGTTTTATCACTGTTTCGCAACTTTTTTGCATTTTCAGAGGGATATAAAAAAACTGTGTTTCGAAGAATTCCTAAATGTAATATTGTAGCATGACTCTATTTCGAAGGGAAAGTTGGTTGGAAGGAATTCGTGATGTGGTCTCACCGGAAACCAAACGGGGATTATCCCTTAAGGCCGACTGTTGAATTGTACGGAGAACTCCTGGGCTCACCGTCCTGCGACCCCGATGAAATAGTGTATGGCTATCTTCTCTGATGATGTCCGTCGCAGGACGATGAGCCGAGGACTTCTTAGCACAATTTAACAGTCTCCCTTACGCGACAATCCTCCTTCCGTCTCCGGTGAAACCATATCATAAATTCCTTCCAGCCAACTTTCCCTTCGAAATGCCATAATATTTCATTAAGGAAGTTATATTGCCTTAATGATCACATGAAAAACTCGTGCTATAAAACTCTTTGGCATTCCTCCACTAGCGAATCCTGTAATCGAGATTTTGTTCTCACCTATTTAATGGGTGCTAAAATTTATCGTTGGATTTCAGTGATCATTCCTGTTTCCCATATTTAACATTGCTGATTATATCTTTCCACATGATGAGCCCTTTCTGCATTGAATTAACTTGTTCATTATTTTGAGACGTATGAAAATCTAGTTCTATTGTCCTTGCTATCCCTTCGAATCGTGTATATTGGGCCATTGCTTACTAATTTAATGCATAAAAGTTGCTTTCTTTATCGTTTAGAAGTGGCACAAAACTAAGACTTCAAATCAAACCGTTTGGTATGAACACTTCAGATAAATTGTAATAGACATTACACATTCCAACGCTTTTTCCGTTTAATTGATCTACGATTTCATTGATTTGAAACTTTCACACTAACTGGAAGTCTACACATTAGTATCCGAGTTGGTCTACCTAAGCTTGACTTTTTATAATTTATTAGCTAACTGCTGTTTCTTTTCATTTGTTCCCCTTAATCTATCATTGTGTAGGAGCTTGTAGATTCTGCTGCCTTACAAATCGACCTACTGGCCCTTGACTCACGTTTGCCATATATGCTTCAGACTGGAGCTGATTATCTTCTCCAAGTAGCTGGAATGTTTAACCAGGTCTGGCATGTAAATCAGGCCGTCTCGTCTTCCAATCTTGCACCACCTCCGCCTTCTCCTGCTTTGTTTACGTATTCTGCTCTTGCATCGGGTGTCGTAGACAACGTTGCTCCTATGACTTCTGGTAGCGTACAGAGCCAAAACTCTAGCTCCAGCTGTCTTGGCACCTTGGCTTGCACATCTCCAACAGCTCTCCAGCAATCTGGCATCCCAATTTTTAATGCAGTTCTATCCACCACTCCCAGTGATACGCAGCCGAGTCATTTCCCGTTGCTTTCTTCTGTTGTGTCTGGAACTTCTGCTTCCACCGCTATGGGTGTTCCAGAACTTCCTTATGTCTCTCGACAGGCTCCTGACGAACCCGAACTTCGGCCCAAAGCTGAAAATCCTGATGGTCTCGCTGCCACAGGCCATAAACGAGCGGGAGGATATATCGTTGCTTGTCTTTTTGCGACGGGTTCTGACCCAGAGCGCTGTTCACCGAATGTTCCTAAAGGCATATATTTTCTGCCCTCTTAAAAATTTGCATAATTGTTGACTTATTCTAACCATTGAAATTTTGATCCTGTTGTTGAGTTTTATTTGTTTTTTTACGATATCTGATACTTGTTTCTTCACCACTATGAGGATTATACTTTCTTATAATAGACGATTCTTCTGTTAAAATCAAGTTATCCTTTTACAAATCCATAGCTCCACCTAGTTTTTGAAAAAGGCATACTTTGCTCGCGTAGTTAAAGCATTTCTTAATTAGAAATTTTATTTATCCTTGGTGAGCCTTGGACCTGATGCAGAGAGAATTTCCAGCCTTTAATAAAAAAATTTTCAATTTAGATTCTTGCTCCAATGATTTTGCTAATAGTTGATGGACATTTATCTTGCTTAGGCACTTCTAGGAGATCTTTTTATTTTGCTGAAATATAGTCTAGCTTTATTTCATTCTACAGAATCAGGAAAACGGCTATGTCTACCACGTGTAGTTAAGAATCGAAAATTTTGCGATATACTCTGAAATACGTACTTGAGTGGATTATAACGGAATTCACTTGACTTTTTCTATGTCACGCAAGAGCACCAGTTTGCCCCCGATGGAATTCATTTCTTGGCATACTCTGATAGTCGTGAAAAGTGCCGTTTCCTAAAGATTTCTTATTATCTTGAAAACTAATCTGTCTTTTTATCAAAGGTTTTACACAGGCTAGATACGCCTATGACAGCAAAGCATCGATCAAAATTGCATCTATCTGCCTGGTACGATCTTTATTACTCTCTGTTTCGGGCTATAGCGTTACACCACTGATCCCGAAAAGTTTTTTTTCTTTGAATTAGGATATTTTTGTATAACAGAATATGGTTCGTTACTCTAGTATTGGAAATATTGTATTCATTATTTTGTTTAACCATTTTAAAGAAATAAAACTAGCTTTATAAGCCTAACCATGGTTGTCTACTTTTAAAATCTAATAAAATTTATCATATGTCGCGGTCTTCCTCTTTCTTAAGTGCTTTTATATCTTCTTAATTCTGTTTCTAATATTAGGTTTTCTGTCTCGATATCTATTTTTAGCTTTCGCATATTCAAATCATGTTCATTTTATTCTTATTCCTAGCTTATTCTTCTCTGCATATCTTTATTTGAAATTTCCTTTACCCTCATCCTTTATATTTTTTACATGCATTATTTTGTTATCTTACATTCCACTCTTTGTCTACCCTTAGGAAGCATGTCATGTCAAACCCTGCCAGCTCGTACCAACAGCTTTGGTCGTCTCTTCATGAGTGGACGCCGAGTTGCTCGAAACCGTCAACAGCACGTCTCAGATACTAATAGTGTGCATAGTTTCTCTGGTTTTCCGACGACAGCCTCGAGCGAAGTATATAAGGTCGCAGTCGGTGTCATTACTGCCGATGAGCAAGCAGAAGAAACCGCCATCGATGCACTTGAGTTGGAATCATTGGAGCCAGCAGTGGTGGGGAACAGCTTTGTCCCAGCTAGTACTAGCTCAGATGACAAGTTTTTGAATGCTGTTGAAAATGAGAATGGCAATGCGATTGAGCCTGTCTGGAGGCGCCTCCAGTTAGTTCTCTTGTCGACCGACTATTCGGATGGATTCATACTTCTTTCTTGGAGTGAGCAATTAGGACAGCCTGAGATAGATGCGAGAGCCCGTGCAGATTTGGCTTTTAAGGTCAGCGTCTTTCACTTGTAAAGCAAGTAAATAGCATTGAAAATGAATATGCGGTGTCCATACAACTGTTATAATACCAAATCATTCATTCACTTTTACCTCAAATTAAGGGTTATGATGGCTTTTACTTGTTATCCTAAGGACAATTTAAAAAAATCGAATTGCTCGAAATTAGTCACATAGATAAATGAAAGTGGCCTGTAAAAATTCCTTTACCAGATTTAATTTTATATTTTTGACTTCCCAACGTAATTTAAAACTCTTTTTAACGAAAATTAGCATTTATATAACCGTTAAAAAGCACTGATTTATAAGGAGAAGTAGCCAAATAAAATATTATTATGCTTATTTCTTCCATAACACTTTTGCCTTGGGCATAGATAAAACATCGTCATCTATG